AAAATAAAGGGGCGAAACCTCAAAACCAATGTTCCAGAGGAGAAGAGAACATGATGTACTGTACAATTTTGAGGAGTCTGCCATTATTTCATAAAAAAAAAAAATCACACTTTCTAGGATATAAGCTAATGACTCCCAGCACCCCCACCACTAGCTCTAGGTTTTGGCTAAAACAACGGGGTTTCCTCTCCACTCCCCAACACCCTCTCCTTTGGGTGTGACAGGCTGACACCCTGCAAAGTCAAAGCGTGCGGGCCACCAGCAGGCTGCCCGGTGGAACAGAATTCATTTGCTTTTCCTCTGAGAGAGGCCGGCCTCCCAGAGCGGGCCCACTTCACCAGCATGGCCTTGTACCCGAGTTAAAGTGATACAGATGGGATGCAGTTTCAGAGAAGCAGTGACACAGAAGAATTTCCAGATGCGGTCAGACTCTCTTTAGCGAAAAAGTGAGACATGAATATGTTATCTGAGCACTTGACATGCATGCCAAGAATGTTTTCCTTCCACAGATAATGAAGCATTTGGGAGCAGAACGGTCTGCTGATTTGGATAATAAATGAGTCAGTAACCGCTCGCCCCCTCCCCCCGACACACACACCCCTCTGGCCCCGTGGGACCCAACACAGTCCTTGGAATTGTATGGGATTCTTTCAATTCTGCTTCTAGCTCTTGGCCCCATCTTCCGGCAAAGGATAAAGCAGCACACCTCCGGACTCACTGAGTTCCCTCTGCGTTTCCTAGGTGGGGCACTTCACTATTACCCCTTTATTAAAAGGGAAGTAGTCATTTCCCCATCGTTTTGTGGGTGACCATCTGTGTAACCCCTTACACGGCTTTCTGAGACTACAGCCATCAGAGCAGTGACAAGAGAAAGCTACACGTCAGTCACTAAGTCTAAAGTGTCCAGGCTTCTGGGAGGCCCGGAATATGCTTTAGGGGGTAAGTTTCGATTATGAAGGAGAGGCGAGTGAAATTGGCTCCCTGAGCCGGGGAGGTAATTACTTGTCAGTGTCTGACGCTGCTGTAAAGTTCCTCTTGGGAGACACCTGGTGTGTCTGTCAGAAAGGAGGTCTCCCGGTTTTGTGCTCCGGAAGCAGCCACAGTTAGTCCTGGCAGGTTAAAGGGGGATACAGGTTCCTGGGCAATGGCCGATGAGCTCTGTTTATCCTCAGTGAGAGTTCCTGTGACTGACTTTGGTAACGACCCGTCACCCCTGCAACGCCAGGGCTCCCTGTCATGTTGCGTTTAAGGAACAAAGGAAGGAACGAAGGAAAGTCAACTGCGTCATCAGCAACTTTTAAGGCCAGAAAACACCAGGTACCTAAGCATGGGCAATCCGGCGGGGCCACACCCCACCAGGAGGCCTTAATGCTTCCAGATGTCCCTGCAGGCCGACCACAGGCCTCTGGTCTCCTGATAAGGCCGGCGCCCGGGGCAGCGGGAGACGGCACCGTTGGCTTGATTCATGGGCTCTGTCCACGCGGGTTAAAGGGCAGCCTCTGGACCACGCTGTGCAAGAACAGGCCAGGCGGAGGCTTAGCCTCACCTTCCGGGACGCACACTTTCTCCCTCCATCCAGAACTAAAATGCAGCCCAGAGCCCAGAGCCCAGAGCCCAGGAACGCAGCGTGCACTCCAGAATTCCGTCAGCCATCTCCCTGCTCTTTAAGTGTTTGGCTTCTGTTGAGAAAAACAAAAAAAGTCGAAGCCAACCTAATCCTGACCCATTTCAGGAACTTGGCTATTCAGCTCAAACTCAGGCATGTGCAGAAAGAAGAAAAAGAAAAAAAAATTATTTGAGCCCATGGCTGAGATCAGCAGCAGACTGCATGTGTGTGTGTGTGTGTGTGTGTGTGTGTGTGTGTGTGTGTAGGGAGGGGAGAAGGGGGGAGAAAAGAGGGAAAGAGAAGGGGGAAGGGGGGGGAGAGAGCGAGAGCGAGCGAGAGCGATGTTTTCATGATATTTCTGACCAAAATTTTGGAGTTTAAATTTGCTCTTGGAAGCCTCTATATTTGACAAGTGATTTAGCCATTTTTATTTTTATTTAAAAAATATACATATTTCAGAGGAAGGGAGAGGGAGAGAGAGATAGAAACATAAATGATGAGAGATAATCATTCACTGGCTGCCTCTTGCATGTCCCGCACTGGGGACTGAGCTCACCACCCGGGCGGGCATGTGCCCTGAGCAGGAATTGAACCATAACCGCCTGGTGGGTGGTTCAGCAGCCTTCAGGGTCCAGAGTGGCTGGAAGACAAGGTCAGGGATGAGGTTGGAGGCAGAGGATATTGGCCTAACGGTGGGTTGTGCACGGTTTTGGACTTCATGGTTTTGGCCATTAAGATCTCCTTGTTGATTTTTAAAATTATTTTCTTTTTATAGCGAACCTCAGGGTGTCTGAGGGTCACACAGAGAAATATTCAGGAGTGGAAGTTAGCAAGTTCGCAAACGGTTAACGGGCTCCTACCTGCCTGAGTAAAACATTTGCGAGGAGGAGAGGTTGAGGAAAGAGGCATCTCTATGTGACGCTCAGTTTTGAATTTTTATTTATTTGGGCTGTATGGAGAGAGCAAAGAGAATGGCCTAGGACAGGAAAAAGAGAATTAAAGGAATTATGATCAGGCCCAGGCTGGGTAGCTCAGTTGGTCAGAGTCCTCCCAATAGCCCAAGGTTGCAGATTCAATCTCCAGTCAGGGCACATACAAGAAGCAACCAAGGGCCCTAACTGGTATGGCTCGGTGGATAGAGCGTTGGCCTGCGGACTGAAAGGTCCCAGGTTCGATTCCGGTCAAGGGCATGTACCTTGGTTGTGGGCACATTCCCAGTAGGAGGTGTTGTAGGAGGCAGCTCATCGATGTTTCTCTCTCATCGATGTTTCCAACTCTCTATCCCTCTCCCTTCCTCTCTGTAAAAAATCAATAAAATATATTAAAAAAAGAAGCAACAAAGGAATGCACACCTAAGTGGAACAACACATCCATGTCTGTCTGTCTGTCTCTTATGATCTTTTGTGGAAGAAAAGTGGGAAGAATGACTAAGTAACAGCCCAACTCCACAGAGGGAGTTAGGCAACTATTTCCCATTTTAGCTCAGAAAAGGTCAGAGAGATTAGAGCATGGAGAATTGAGGATAGTCATAAAAAATGCACTTCCAGTGGTACCAGGAAGGCTCAGCGCAGTGCACTGAGTGGAAACACAGTTCCATTGTACTGGGGAGATGTCCTGATTGTATTCTGTTCAAAGGCACAGGGTTAGATCATATAATCCCCAAATCCACCCCAGGGCCAGAAATCCGTCTCCTGCTGGGGAGGGGTTTCCTTCCCCCTTCCCTCTCTTATCCCCTCATCTTACAGCATAAGCTGTGTTATGAATGGCTCACTTTACATGACATCATTGAAGTGACAGGATATCGAGGAAAAGAATGCACTTCACCCACGGACTTTGCATCCTGGGGAGGGTTCCTCAGCCTTGACCTCTTATAACAGGCACCTCCCACCCGGGATGAGGGCTGACTTGGGATAGGGCGAGCCCTTGAACTTTTACCGAAAAAACAGAGGGTAAAGGAGGAGAAAAAAAGAACATGTGCTCACCACTGGGGAGAGTAGTAGATGCTGGGGTGGGAGCGGGGGAGTGAGTCGTTCGATTCTGCTTTGGGTTAGTTGCCGGGCTGCTTTAAAGTGCCAGGCCTGGCTTATGTACAAGTTCAATCTTGGCCTCCAGCAGGCCGGCTGCAGGGGAGACTTCTTGTTGCAATTACCCTCCGTGCACAACCAAGTCATAAAACCCAGGATGTTTCTCATGCAAAATGCGCCCCCACAGCCAGCCAGCTTTAGAAATCGGTGTTCCTGTCAACGGCTGTTGCCAGCGGAGTGAACGATTGGCTTTGAGGCAGAAAGCTCCCCCGGAGTGCGCGCCCATGAGCACCCCCCGCCAGACTCCTCGATGTCCAACGCGGACACTGTGCCCGGGCAGCATGGGGGTGCCGGGGTAGCGTGGGGGCAGCATTTCCAAGGAGAGAAACCAAATAGGGCTAAAATCAAGGAGAGAGAATTCTCAGGAAACTGACTTGGCAGGGCCTTCATATGCAAATATCACATTACAAACTCCTGAGATAGCGCTGGTCCCCGCTGGCCCTCCCCAATGAAGGTCTCAGTGAGACCCGCCTGAGCAGTCCCGGCCTCCTTCGCTTTTCTCCATAGCGTTTACTAGGGGGCATTATACACTACGTCTGTCTTATTTATGTATTATTTGTCTCTCTCCACCCGAATATTCACGAGGTCTGGAAATGAGGATGTTTTTGTCTGTTTCGTTCCCCACAGTAAGCCAGCGCTTGGCATACGGTGAGTGCAAAGTATTTGCTGAGTCCGGCACAGACCGAATATACAGCCACGGGTCGGGCTGAGATCTCTGAGACCGAGTGTAGAAACAAGGAGACGCTGGGCCCTGCAGAAGTTGGGGAGATGAGAAGAGCCAGCGAGAAAGGCAAAACCAAGGGAACGTGCTGGCCTGGAAACCAAGGAAGTCAAGAGGCCGTGGGAATGACCTTCCACTAGTTACCAGGCTTTTCTTGAGAAAAAACCATCTGGAGTTGGCGCAGGAGCAGGTAGCCTTGCATATTCCACATAAGCTTGAGCTTCAACCTGCACTTAGGTTTTATGAACCAATGCGTCATGCTCTGAGAAGCTTTATGGATGCTGTGGACCTTGCCTGCAGAAAAATGCATCCAGGCAATTGTCAAGACTGCAGACAGTTGCTGGGGTTTCCCGAGCCAGTGACGTCTACCGGGAAGTCAGGCCCACACCCAACCCCGACCTCTCCCCAGAGAGGTCTTCTGATGGCGTGAACCACGCTGTCTCAATGTAAACATTTGGGTGTTGCAGGTCTCCTGGCTTCTCCAGGTGTTTCCAAAGGTTAGAATGAGTGAACCTCCTGGGCCCTCGGGAGGAACACAGTACGGGAATGATCGGTTCTGAAAGCAACAGTGAAACGAAGGAGAACTCACCACCACCTCCTGGACGTGAAACATCTCTGCGCCTCCAGGTGACAGTCGATTAGGGAGAGAGATGCTGACGGATGCCCCGGGAAGGGTGCTTGGCCCGGTGTTATAGACCTGTGGGTGTGAGACGCACACAGCACGTTTTAATGGAAGCAAGGATCTTCATTTCATGCCATGCAATATAGACCCGGAAATGATTTGAAGGGATACACAGAGGTTCTAAGGTTTGGGATCTAGAAATATCAAATGATGGGAGATTTCAATGTCCTTGTCTTCTTCCTGCTAAAAAGTATTTCTTTTTATAGATCTAGACCAGTGGTTCTCAACCTTCCTAATGCTGCGACCCTTTAAAATACAGTTCCTCATGTTGTGGTGACCCCCAATTTCATTGTTACAAATTGAACATAATTAAAGCATAGTGATTAATCACAAAGACAATATGTAATTATATATGTGTTTTCCGATGGTCTTAGGCGACCCCTGTGAAAGGGTATTTCGACCCCCAAAGGGGTCGCGACCCACAGGTTGAGAACCGCTGATAGATATTTACTCAAAAACTACAGAATTCAGACATAATCTAGTTCAGTGATTCTCAAACTTTAGCATATATCAGAGTAACCGGAAGGGCTTGTTAAAACATAGATTGAGGGGAGGGTCATGCCCAGAGTCTCTGACATAGCAGGTTTGGGGTGTGTGTGTGTGTGTGTGTGTGTGTGTGTTTGGGCTAAATGATTTGCATTTCCCAACAGGCTTCCCAGCAACCCATACTTTTGAGAACCACGGAATCTGGCCAAACCCCTTTTTGTTTTTACAGTTTTGAGATAACTGAGACCCTCAAAGACAAAGTAGGTTGTCCTAAAAACCAAATGATCTCACCTACAGAAAAGGGCTTTTTACTACACTCCCAGCTGACTTGGTTTCTCCATAACTTGCAGGTCATCACTTGCTAATATTGTTCGATGACATCTGTGCGCCTCTTGCCTGTCCCAGCATTTGGTCCTGTAAAACGTTAGCCCTCTCATCCCCACCCCACCTCCCGTCCTTCCTATATTCTGTCTCCAGCGGCCCATCATCTCCTGAGGAATGGGAGAAAAGGCGGTGGCCACAGAGAGACCGATAAGAGAAAGGAGATGGAGCAAAGGATGAACACCAGACTCAAGGAGAAAATGGAATATGAAGGAGAAGAAAAAAAAAAGATGGGTAGATGTGTAGAGGCAGAAAGTCGATTAGTGGTGGCCTAGGGTTGGGGGGTGTAGGGGAGATGGGGAGTGTGGTGGGCAGCAGACTGCCCACCCAACCCACCAAAGACATCCATGTCCTAATGTGTGAAATAAAGAGCTTAACTTGGATTACCCAGGCGGGTGCAGTGTAATCATATGGGTCCTTATATAGGGAAGAAGGCAACAGCGTCAGAATCAGGGAGATGTGTTGTGAGAAGGGCTTGTTAACGTAAAGAAACAATCAAACCTGTAAAGAACTTTTACGAGTTTCTTTGAGCCAAACTGTCAATTATTGCCGGGAAGCAGAATCTCAACATACTGGGAATAACGCTCCGGAGGATGGCGGGTTTTTTACTTTGTTTTAAACATTACAGTCAAAAGAGAAGACGTCAGTGAGTTACATGGACTCCATTGGTGATAGATTAGGGAGGCGGGAGAAAGCAAAGCGGGGAAACCTCTGGGATTGGATAAAAAGTAAAATGACAGACACACACTTCTTTTACTTAGGTGGGTGCTGGATAGTTCACAGTCAACCATGAACTCAGTAACAATGAGGAGATCTGTGGTCTCCGCAGAGCGGTGCCTGTGCTCTGAGGGGTCCAGAAAAAGGAAAATTACTTTGACTTTCCAATGATATGTCATCGTAGATGCAAAAAGACCACAGACAGGCTCAGTTAAGGTAAAGATTGACCTTTGTCAGGGAAGATACCGGCCTAGGACATGACTACCCACCACAAACTGCTTTTAGTTAAAGTTTTCATTTCAGACCATCCTTTGTGGTTAGTTTACGTCTCTGAGTTTGCAAGACCGCCATGCAGGCCTCCCCTGAGCTAGGCAGGTGAGCATTCGGCCCCTTTTCGTCCACAGAGTGAACCAGCCGTCGCTGGCTTGGAAGATGAGGGGGACCCCGAGCCAGAGAATGTGGCCGCCTCTAGAAGCTGGAAGAGGCAGGAAAACAGATTCTCCCTGGAGCCTCCAGAAAGGCACGCGGCCCTGCTGACACCGAGATTTCAGCCGGCGAGAGCCATTTGGACTTCTGGGCGGCAGCTCGCTAAGATGAATGTGTGTTGTTTTAGGCTTCTCTGTTTGAGGCAATTAGTTACAGCAGCAACAGGAAACTAATAGAGGGATAAGGAGATTCTTTTTGGGGGGGGTGATGACATGTTCTAAAATTAGATTAGGGTGATCGCTGCCCAGTTCTGCAAATGTACGAAAAACCACTGAATTGTACACTTTAAAAGGGTGAACGTGAAGGTATGTGAATGACATCTCAATAAGATGTTATTATTATTATTATTTATTTTTTTAAAAGATGGGTTAGGAGCAAGAGAAAGGAAGAAGTGAAAGGCTACTCCACCGCCTGGGGGCCAGAGAGAGAATTCAGGGGCTCCAGGCGCCTCTGAAGTTGAGGTCAGAGGGCAGCGCCAGGAGATGGCACACACGACAGAACGTATCAGGGTCCGGCTCCAGCCAGCTCCTCCCTAAAAAACCGTGTCTTCATTTTTTTTTTGCAATAGTTGGTTCTACTTCAAAGAACAGACAACAAAATAAAAATGATAGAGCAGATGAGCTGTCATTGCCAACTCTTGATTCAAAAGGAACAAAATTCACCAAGAACAACAGCCCTAAGACACAAGAAAAGGAAGGGGAATATCCAGCCACAACTGAAATAACTGATCTGAAGTGAAACATGAGACACAGAACGGAGAGGAAACCCACTGGCCTGTCTGGGAGATCCCAGATAGAGGCGAGTGGGGGGAGGAAAGAAGTGGATTTGATTGGCGTCACTTCACCATCCGGGCCACAGCCACGGGAGAGCTTGCATTGCCACATCCATTCATTTTTAACAAATTTTCACATTTCATTCTCTGCAAATGCTCTGTGCAGCATCTGCATTATTTTCCATAATTTTTCAGGTAAGGGAATCAATCGACTCTTGATTTAAAAACAAACACACACACACACACACACACACACACACACACACACACACACAGAAAAAAAGCCTATCATTGGTCAACAAATTATCTGTCTCTGTTAAGAAATCCCTGGTGAAATGTAGGATCCAGTCCTAAGACTAGAATGCCTACTTTTCTTCCATCTGCCTTTGCAGTGGAGTCTTTAATCAATTACGTAGCTTATTGAACAATAGCTTTTAAAAGGCACGGCAACATCTCTTTATCTAAAAAGTCTTAAAAAAAAAAGTCTGGTGTTCTCCTGCAGGAGCGATGTCGCCGGAATAAGGAAAGAGAAGCGATTTGTCCACACTCCTGACCCCATCCTCCCGTTATTTCCCCCTCTTGGTCATCAGCGCCATCAATGTGGCCGGTGGCCTTCCTGCAGATGGTCACAATAATGACAATTACACCGGAAAATGGGCCGTGAGAGAATGCTCAAGGAAACTGTCGGCTTTGCTAACACAAGAGAACCTCCCGATCAATGACACACGCACCCCCCTCTTACAGTCCCCGCCAGCTCCCTTAATCCTCACGGAATGGCCTATTCTTCCTCCGGCAACTGGGAATCGAGAGGTTTATCTAAGGGCATGTCCATCACTCCTCCAGGGGCCCGGTTCTCTAGCTCGTCTCCTAAGTCAGGTCGGATGTCTAGAAATACGAAACCTTAAGCTCCCTGTAAGAATGCCTTCAGAGAAACATGACTCAACCACATGCCCGCAGATTTTTTTTTTAAGAGGATGATAACATTTTTGTGTCTTTTGTGCAACTGCTATTCCTTATTGCTTTCTCCTCTACCTTCCATGGCATGTGCCATGCGAACCCTTTTACATTTTTATTTTTCGTTAATCTTCACCCGAGGATATTTTTCCATTGATTTTTAAGGAGAGTGGAAGAGAGAGGGAAAGACAGAGAGAAACATCGATGTGAGAGAGACACATCGATCGGTTGCCTCCTGCATGAGCCCTGACTAGGGCCCGGGCCTGGGACGAGACTACAACCAAGGTACATGCCCTTGACTGGAATCGAACCCGAGACCTTTTGGTCTGCAGGCCGATGCTCTATCCACTGAGCCAAACCGGCCAGGGCGTGAACCCTTTTAAATAATTTTCTTGACTGTGTCTTTTGTTGCAGGACACCTAAGAACTTTAAGAGTAGGTAAGTAATTAAAATGAAAGTGACTTAAGGAAAATGAAATAACTCCCTCTGGCCTTTATCTGTTTGTTTTTTTTTCCCCTGTCCAATTACAAAAACCAATGGAGAAAAATAAATGAATTCTGAGCAGCAAGTCGGAAAGAGAGGTCCTATTCACAGCAATTGCTCTAACGTCTCAGAAGCAGGTCTGACCCCACCCCCCACCCCCTACAGATCAGGCCTGGGGAGCGACAGCTGGGCCTGGCCAGCCCGGAGGCACACCCTCTCCGAGCTGGGGCCATGTGCTGTCCATCCTGGCTGCTGAGGTCTCTCGTCTTGGAGAACATTTTGGGGAGAGGAAGACCATCATTTGTGAGCCCCCACAAATGTTTTACTGCCTCGTTCTCTGGACCCTCACCCCGTCACTATTTGTCATCCCCTTGGTCCATCTATGAGTAGCCACGGGTAAATAAAATAAAATTTATTTGACTACAGGAATGAGTGCCAGACCAGGAAACTACCTTCTCCATGGGAAAGGACATAGAGGAGGCAGGGGACAGCTCTGGGCCAAGTGGGGTGTCTGCTCAATGCCCGGCCTGTCCTGACCTTGGCCCCGCCTCTCCCACCTCTGGGCCCTGCAGCCTGGCGTACGTGTCCCTGTGTTCGTCAATGGGGGAGAACGGACTGGATGATGCTGGGGCCCCTCTGGCTTTGTAGTCAGAGTCTCACGTGGAACAGGGCTGGCCTGAGGACCAGTGCCTTAGAGCAGGTGGGCACACTGTGGCCTGCAGGCCTGCCACCTGTCTCCATACAGCCCGAGAGCTAAGAATGGTTTTACATTTTTAAATGACCGGGGGGAGGGGGAGTATAAAAAAAAGAGTAACATTTTATGACACATGAAAATGACGACGTAAAATTCCAATTTCAGTGTCCATCTCCACAGTTTTGTGTCTGCGTCGCCCGAGGCTGCTTTTGCGCTACAGGGAGTTGAATAGTTGCCCCCAGAGACGGCATGGCCTGCCCAGCCTAACATACTCACTCTCTGGCCCTTTTCAGAAAGTCTGCCCACCCCTGGCTTAGAGAAGGAACGCTGTCCCTTGGATGTCAGTCCACAGCGAGTGGACCCTGAGAACCCAGGAGGAAGGGACGTGCCAAGTCCTCAAGGCTGCCCTACCC